TGCTACAGTTTACTGACTGTAATGGCATTTACTTGAGAAACTTAAAACATTTCAATTTTCTTTCCCTCATCTAATCAATATTGTGAATAATGAATATAAAAGCAATGGACCTACTGATGTAATTACTATGAGATTCCTATCAAGGGGCGGGGGGGGGGGAGAAAAGTTCATTTAAGCATCCTATTAGGCTACAAATCTATGTTCCTTACTGCAGGACATAACTGTTATGATGGAACTCTAGTCAATACAAGTATCCTAATTTTGCTAGCAAGGGTTTTTGCACCAGATTAAGCAAGCAATATTATAACAATTAGATCTGTTCATACAAGATTTCATTAAGTCACAACTGGGTGGATCAATAACAGAATTTCTATCTGATAAAAATATAGTCTTCCTCACCCCCTAACAAATCATGAGAAATGGCCAAAGCCAGATTAACATAAGCAGCCTTAGAACATTTACAATGCAAGGGAAAAGGTAATATCTAAGGTAAATTGTTGAAGGTGAACCACTTGGCACTATGTTGTGTGCAACATAGCTAAAGGTGGTGTCAACACAAAGAAGCCAAATTCACAATTATTTTAAAGTTGATGTACACATCTATATAAATTAGGGAGGACAGAAACAGAGATTAAGCCACATGTCATCTATTTTTTTAAGGAGGCAATAGGTCTACCACTACATCATAGCTACAATCCTGTAAGGTTAGTTATCTAAGGATAGTAACTAACTCAAAATTAACCAATAAGATACATATTAAATGTATGAATTCCATGAATGGAAGCTTAAACCAGGAATTCTCCTGATTCTTTGTAATTTTTATTTCCTCCAAACAAATATTAACTGAAATTAAATTTAGATTTAAATTGATACACATTTTAAGTATCTTGGAACACAAACCAATACAATTATTAAAAGGTAGTTCTGTATAGGATTATTCAATATAATAAATATATTATAAATCCTATAAATATAGATTTTAAAATCTACAGTGAAAAAGATAAGACATTGTAAAAGACAGAAAGATACAATATACAATTTAGCTTAAAAGTGACATTTTATCAAGTATGAACACAGCTAGTTAGGTATCATGCTGTGCAGTGATCTGACCATTGGACTAGGAAAGACACAGATTCAACTCATTCTAAATTTTTACTGGACAACTTTATGCCACTCTCTAAGATCACCATGCAGGTTGCATGCTGATAAAATGTTGCCATGAGTTTATTTATTTTTCAAATTTATATATGCTGCCCATCTCACTATACATGTTTTTGGATCAAGAGAAAAAAAACTGAATCAAGAAAAAATTAGTAATATAAGGACTGGACTAGAACTGTCTAATTTATCAATTTACTGTTTAAAATAGAGTCAAAATTTTTATTTTATGACAACAATTATGCTTCAAGTGACATAGTTCATATCCTCATCTTATAGTTTGCCATATAAAAACATACAACACACTGTCAATGTTGTATACTATCTTTGTACTGCTGTTTGTTACACTGACTGGTCATCGTCTGCAATAAACTATTCTTTCATCTAAACACTTCTGAATACATTTTGTTTATTGTACTGTATAACTGATAAACTTTCAAATATTTTCTTTCACAAAACCTCTAATTAGGTAAGCTAACCTGCTCAAGGTGAAATGTTAGCATCCGAAAAAAATCACATTATACTGACAGTTAAATTCTTAAACTGAGTTCAATAACATAAGCAAACCACTATAATCAATTATCAGGTATTGTCAGATTCATAAACAGACTGGTGGCAGGAACTACAACCACCATTCCATTGGTGCTGCCTTAACTAAAAATGCCTCTATACATGTTAAAATAAGCCAGAATGGCTAAAAGTCCATTCTTTGTTTTACATAATTCTTTGTGTATCAAATGTGCATATTAATGTACTTTCCTCAATCCTGTTTGGATACTTTTGCTATGAGAATAGCTAAAGAGACAGGAACCTTCATCTACATTTATTTGGCATCGTATCAATTCCAGACAACCAGTACTCAGAAGTAATACAAAAACTAATTATAGACTGCTTCGTTTAACCACACCCACTGGGATGGAGGACCAAGCAAGAATAATAAAGTAAGATATACCAGACGCTTCACAAAAAAGTATTCCTTGAACTAAGTATACCAAAACTATTAGTAAAGAATTCTCCTAGTGTAATTTGTATAGATGAAGATGAATACGTATATTTGTATTAGGAAGTAATTTTACAAATGTTCAGTCTGTGAGTTGGTATGCAGTCTCTAAAATGTGGCCAATGTAATAAGAGAAATAAAGTTGAGAATTATTACTTCAGGAACCTTAGGCAATCTGATGTCTCTGAATATTTTGAACTATAACTTCTGGACTATTGGTTATGTCTGGGATTTGTAGACTAAGATAACTTGAATGCACCTGGTCACCTATTATTTAAAGCAACAACTCTGATCCATAATTACTTGTTTACTAGATAAATGGTGTAGCTCTACCATATAGAGCTGGTGCAACATGCAAGTCAGTTATTTCCATTCACTTTTGACCAAATATGCAAGGTTATTTTAGGTTTTCATTAAGAGGTATTTGTAGTGGTTTTGAAGTGTATGAAAAAAACTGCAACAAAAGTATACAGAGAAGAGTGGCAAACAGGAGTATAAAAGATTCTTAGATAATATTTAAATAATGGCTATATGGTATGTAAACATATTAGTTGAAACTGAAATACTGTTATTGTTGTACAATAGTCTACTTATTTTAATGCTACTTAACCTGATTCACATTAATAAGGGTATGCAAAATGTTTTCTAATTCAAAATGTTTCAAACTTGAGAGAGTTGTTTCAAGTTTGGAATAATTTGTTCTGCCAGTGGTAGAATTGTTCTGACCATTCCAGAACTGTTCCAAGCTCAGAATTCTTCTAGAATGGTTGAAACAGGATTGGAACACTTCCAGAATGGTTGGAACAACTATTTTAAATTCAAAATATTTTGCACACCGCTAGCCTCTTACTCTGGCCGTAAGATCAATCTTGAGCTATTTCAAAAAGAAAAAAGAAAAAAGGATGCATTTCTCAGACAGTTTATATGACAAGGGTGTTATTAATAAAAATGCATTCATCACAGCCTGGTTAAACCAGGTAGAAGTGAGACATCAACTGAGAGTTCTAGAACATTTCAGATGTATGGATTTCAGTTAACACCAGTTAAAGTTACATTACCAAAGTCAATGCTATTACAGCAATAGGTGTCTAAACTCTAGCTACAGACCTTGGCTTTTACAACTAAATTCTTATCTATAGAATGTGAGCTTCAAAAGCTAAACCACTAGAAGTATACTTTAAATCACATCTGACTTTCAAAATAAGCTGAAATGCAATGCCAATAGCATGAGCACCTCTTTTGTCAGGACTCTGATTAACTTATCTTTCAATTCTTTAACATTTACATACATTAGGAAGAAACAAAACATTCAGGAGTCAAGCTGCTAAATGTTCTGCCTCTGTGTTGTTGGGAAAACTAATTAAAGCTTGGGTGACTCCCTTAAGAGTTGTTATTCTCTACTGCAGGGGAAACAAGTTTTAGAAGTAAGCTTTCCAGCATCTATTATTAAGATTTAATATTGAATGCAAACATTAGGAAAAAAAATGGCAAGTTAAGGACTGTACTTCTATCTAAAATATAATCTCAAAGGTGGTCCAACTATTAAAACTGCCCTAATGCTTTACATGTACTAACTATAAGCAGCTTTTATTGAGACAGAATATCTCTGAACGTGGAGATAGTTAAAAGCCGTAAGCAGACAATTAATATTTCCAAGACGTTAGCCGTTTATAAAACCTTCCACGCTGACCCTTAGTTTACAAGAACCGTCACCAGTGAAACTAGCTGAGTGACAAAGTTACCTAAACCGCACCCTCTGCCACGACAAGTGAGCCTTTAACTCAAAATAGGAACCAACTTCCTCACCACGACACTCACTTCACATTAAGCTCCTTACTCCACCCTCCTTCTAGATTGTGCAAGAACGACATTCTCTATGCATCACAGAGCCGCCACCACATACTTCCGCTCCTTGTCAGGAGCGGAGGCAAAAGGCGAGTATTCCGCATTTAACAAAAAAGGCCACTGAGACTGGAGGTATAACCGCGGCCAGGCCGATCGGCAGCTGCCATGGAGGTGGCCGAGAATGGAGACGTGCGTGCGTGTGTCAGTCATGTTATTGCTGAAAGCTAGGGCGAAAAAAAGAGAAAGAGATCCCGGGGAAGCGCCTGAACTGGCAAGCCCGCCGCCATCTTACAATGCGGGAAAGAAGTTCCCGGCCAGAGCACAGAAACCAACGACGGATGGGAGGCAGACGCCACACACACACACACACACGCACGCACGCAGGGCGGTCCGGGTCACTTTTTAATTGCTCCTTCAACACACGACGGGGGCCCGGATCGTAAGCTACAATAGGAGGCTTTGTAATTTCAACGAGGGCAGATACGGCGGCTCTCGGCAGCCCGATCGCCTTCAAAATCGGCTCGGCCAAACGGACGCAGAGGAGCACGAAGACGCTCGGGACCCTCCGCGACCACCACTGACCCCCCAACGGTCCTGAGGCCTGTTCCACGGGCTTCCACCCCCACCCCACAGCCGGGCCGGACTG